GAATTAGTACTAATTTGTATGTTCTGGAACACAACTATTGTTTGGTTTTCACAGATAAATAGTTTTTTTTTTTTTTTTTTTTTTTTTTTTTTTTTTTTTTGACGAAAAAAGTGATTTGGCAATACTTTGTTAACAATTGGATCCGTCAGTTGAGAAACCATTAAAATAATATTTTATTTATATTTGAATAAAAAGATTAAATATGTAAATTTAATTGTGTAACTGTCATTAAGACAACATTTTTATTACTTTAAAGTATTTTGAGAGTGTCTCAAAGTCACAAGTTTCTATAAAAATACAATACATTTGTAACAAGTAAAAAAGCAGTAAGTTGGGCCGGGTCGAACTTTCTTTTAAAATCTTTAATGTACCTAATATCGGATGGGGCCCATATATACGGGGGGATATACGATATTGTGGACCTATATAAACAAATAGATTTCAGGTGCTCACAAAGAACTAAAGTGCTCACAAAGAACTCCTTGTGTGGATTTTCAGACAATACCATTGGAAAATATAGCTAAAATCATCAAGATACCGAATATCGGGGGTACCGTTATATGGGGTATATACGATATCGTGGACCTATATAGACAATTCTCTTTCAGGGGGTGAAATACTCATAAAGGACTCCTTGTATGTTACGTACCACCTGATACGGCGCTATAGTGGGGTTCCATCTAGCTCAGTCGGGGCACCGCTTTAGGGGTGAATTCCCAACCCTGTCACCATCAGCTCTAGGGGTCGAACAATCAAAAGGAACAACATGAAAATTAAAACAAACGAATCGAAATAAAAGTTCAAAACGCATACCACCATAACACGGGAAATTGATGTTAATAATTCCCACATATAGCCCACCCAACCTTGACCCTTAGATCCTCATCAAAGATTTCAATTCAATTTGTAAGGGCCCCGTTTTCCACACACATTTACCTCACTTCAACATCATCCTATTTTCCTCCCTAACAAAAAAAAAAACATTAGCAATTCATATTAATCTAAACACTTAGACATTAAAACAATTTATTGGTTTCATTATTTTCTTGTCAGAATTCTAAATTTCTAACACCTGACACATCGATAAGTCAATACCTCGGACTACCACCTTATCCTATTGAATTTCGGTCAACTTGGGCCGCTTTTCTTAATTTTTCCTCACCTAAAAGAGCTCTCTTATGTGGTCCTGATTTCTTCAACCTCTGCACCGAGCTTAACATATCCGGTTCAGTTTTTCCTGCCGGCAGCAAGCAAACACATCACATCGGTAATTGCTGCTAATTATTTTTTTTTATTAAAATAAAAAACCACATGCAACATGTGTGGAATTATAGACCATTCCATTAGAAAATGTGGCTAAAATCATCAAAATACCGAATATCGGGGGGTACCGTTATATGGGGCCTATACGATATCGTCGACCTATATAGATAATTCTCCTCCGAGGTATAAAGTACCCGCAAGGAACTCCTTGTGTGGATTTTCAGATAATTCCATAGGAAAAAGTGGCTAAAATCATCAAACTACTGAATATAGGGGTACCGTTATATGGGTGCTATACGATATCATTAACCTACATAGAGAATTCTCTGTCGGGGGGTAAAGTGCAAAAGTGAGATATGTGCAAAATTTTAGCTTCCTATCTTAATTCGTTTAGACTGTAGCGTGATTACAACAGACGGAAAAAGGTGTGACAAAGATGGCCGTGGACTATTTGTGTCGGGAGTTCAGATTGTTTCTGTAATTGAGGCGCAAAGTAATCAACACAATACTGAAAAAATATGCTGGAGGAATTTAAGAGATGCTTCCTAAAATATTAATTGGTGTTTACTGATTAATTGATTAAACAGCATTCCAGAATACATATTACACATATTTTAAGATACATTTTTGTACAAAATTCTTTTTTGTGTTCTTTTTGTTTTTGTTTATTAGTTTCAGTTTATTATTCGTAATACCACATTAGTTGTGTTCCAGTACTTTTTAGTAGTAAAAGTGGCAGAAGAGAGAACAGTTCGAAATGTCATTCTCATTTAGGTCAAATGTCAAAATTCCAAAAGTAAACAGTCTAAATCGGACTGGTGAAACATTACTGAAAAAGATGCCAAAATTAAAAAAAAAATGAGTATTGAAGACGATAAGTTAAAATTAACAGCCAGTTTCAAGATATCGAAAGAACACGTTCGCACAACTTTTACACGACAAACAGCTGATTTCCGTTCCACTAAAATCCATCAGAACGAAAATTTGCATGAAAATCAAAGCGAACGAAAAAGGTAAGCGTTTCAGTGTAATTTTGCGTTCCACTATCTTTTTTCTTTCGTACGCATGCGAAAACAAATGTCAAAATCAGTCACTTGTGTGTTTGCTGTCGTATGATAACAATTAAGGAAAATTGTTTTAATATAAACATTGCTTGATTTAAAATGGAAACAAAAATGTAAGTAAAAATAATAAATGCAATTTAATATGTGAACAACAAATATATATTTTTTTATTTTCTCAATTCCAGCACGAAAAAATCATTAACTACACAGCTGCGGTCACTAGTTGAGAATATGGAGGAGAATCTGAGTTCGCCAGAGGAGTGCCAATTTTTGGAAGCAGCAGAAGAAGTTTTAAATCTGGGCGGATTTGGGTAGTTCTGTAACCGGGCACCCACTTCTCTTCCATCATATCCAAAAGAGTCCGAAAAGCTTCCTTCAACACACGAAAATTGGCCACAAACCTAGAAAAAATCATTTTTTATTATTTCAAAAATTTAAAAATACAATAATACTTACTGGTTGTTAGGTACTTCAAATAAATTCGAAGCATCTCTTAAATGCCTCCGTGGCACATTTTGAACCTCCTCCACATTTTTTATTTTTTAAGAACAATCACTAGAAATTTTATTTTGTTTGTTTATTTACAATTTGTTTGTTTACAACTGAACTGTCAGTTGAGACAGAGCCACTGTTGCTTTTTCGCGTTTAAATTAGACATTTGGCGCTTTTTTGCCTTATTTCGCGATTAATTTTTTCAAAAAATATTTAGCAACACTGAATCACGTAAGGCTATGCGAAAGAAAGAACGAAAGTTAGTGGAACGCATTCTTATACGAAAGTGAGTGAGTAGCCTTCGTTCGCACAAATTTTCTTTCGAGATCGTGGAACAGGCTGTAATACTTACTGGTTGTTAGGTACTTCAAATAAATTCGAAGCATCTCTTAAATGCCTCCGTGGCACATTTTGAACCTCCTCCACATTTTTTATTTTTTAAGAACAATCACTAGAAATTTTATTTTGTTTGTTTATTTACAATTTGTTTGTTTACAACTGAACTGTCAGTTGAGACAGAGCCACTGTTGCTTTTTCGCGTTTAAATTAGACATTTGGCGCTTTTTTGCCTTATTTCGCGATTAATTTTTTCAAAAAATATTTAGCAACACTGAATCACGTAAGGCTATGCGAAAGAAAGAACGAAAGTTAGTGGAACGCATTCTTATACGAAAGTGAGTGAGTAGCCTTCGTTCGCACAAATTTTCTTTCGAGATCGTGGAACAGGCTGTAACAGAAATGCGATAAAATGTCAAAATTCGAAATCCCGAAGGTAAACAGTCTAAATCGGACTGGTGAAACATCACTGAAAAGGACGCCAAAATTTAAAAAAATGAGTATTGAAGACGATAGGTTAAAATTAATAATCTATAATAATAATTAATAATTTGATTCCTCACTCAGCCAGTCCTCTTCACTGCTGGAATCATCAAAAGTGAATACATCAGTTGCTCCATATTTTCTCTTTTTGTTTTTTGCACAGCAAATATTAGTTTTTCCTTTAGTTTTTAAGTTGATCATTTTCTTTATTTTTGTTGTGACGCGCGAACATTGAAATGTATCAATACATTTTTCAACCTTGTTAGCCCTGCCAATTAAATATCAAATTTACAATATGCACATTTCTGCTCGGCCAAATTCACGTAGCTAAAACAAGCAGAAATGTGCACCACTCAGCGACATTTTTTCTTGAAAGAGCTGCAAGTTTTGCTAGTTTTTGGAGTACAGAAACGCGTTGTTGCAGAATTATTACTTATTAGTACTAATTTGTAGGTTCTGGAACACAACTAAAGTTTGAGTCTTCTCCAAGTTGTACAACCAGTTGTATCGTGTGTGGCTTGCATAACGCATATTGGAAGTTCATGCCTTAACACATATTGACACCCATGGTACAAAAAAAATGTAAGGTAGGGCTACCAGCTGATTATAACTTTTTTAAAGTGTGCCCGACTTCTCCCAATTTTGTGTATGTATTTATTGTTTTGAAAAATAAAAACAAAATATTTTCAAAATCAATGATTGGAAGACTTCGCGGCTCGCGCTTTAATGCTATTAACCAGTTTAGCCATGAAATTGAAAAATTGAACAGTTTGCATCATATTTTTTAGAGAAATCCAGGCATTTTATTAATCTTTGATCTATATATATAATTTTTAAATTAATTGGATAATTTTTTAATTAATAATTTAATAATTTTTAAATAAATTTGGTATTTTCATCGCTCTCTTCATCTCGTCAAAGGAAATTTACACGTTTAATAAAATTTATGTTGAAGTTGGTGTTGTTCAAACCGAACACTCTAAATGGTCCTGTTCAAACCGAAAAATTCTGTCAATTAAAATTCGTTTCTTTATGAATAGCATTCACGTTGTAAAAACGTGGAAGGGATACATCAAATCTTGTTAAAAAACAAGGCCAACATTGATAACGCTCGGCGTTAATGTCTGTTACTCATCATTTAGACTAGTCAAGTTGACTTGTGGCATTTTTTATCGTTCTCTTTTGAACTATATATATATATATATATATATATATATATATATATATATATATATATATATATATATATATATATATATATATATATATATATATATATATAAATATATATATATATATATATATATATATATATATATATATAGTTCAAAAGAGAACGAAGAGTGAAACCAGTAAAAAAAATTAACAGCCTGTTCCACGATCTCGAAAGAAAATTTGTGCGAACGAAGGCTACTCACTCACTTTCGCATAAGAATGCGTTCCACTAACTTTCGTTCTTTCTTTCGCATAGCCTTACGTGATTCAGTGTTGCAAAATATTTTTTGGCAAAATTAATCGCGAAATAAGGCCAAGAAAGCGCCAAATGTCTAATTTAAACGCGAAAAAGCAGCAGTGGCTCTGTCTCAACTGACAGTTCAGTTGTAAACAAACAAATTGTAAATAAACAAACAAAATAAAATTTCTAGTGATTGTGTTCAGATTATTTGTGTTCTTAAAAAAGAAAAAAATGTATATTTCTGTAGCCCTATTTTTTATGGATGATGAGGAGGAGGTTCAAATTGTGCCACGGAGGCATTTAAGAGATGCTTCGAATCTATTTGAAGTACCTAACAACCAGTAAGTATGATTGTATTTTTACATTTTTGAAATAATAAAAAAATGATTTTTTCTAGGTTTGTGTCTTCCAGTGGTCTTCATGGGATTGCCTGCTGCTTCCAAAAATTGGCACTCCTCTGCCGAACTTAGGATTCTCCCCCATATACTCAACTAGTGCCCGCAGCTGTGTAGTTTTTTCGTGCTGGAATTGAGAAAATAAAAAAATGTATATTTGTTGTTCACAGATTAAATTGCATTTATTATTTTTACTTACATTTTTCTTTCCATTTTCAATCAAGGAATGTTTATGTTAAAACAATTTTCCTTAATTTTTATCATTCGACAGCAAACACACAAGTGACTGATTTTGACATTTGTGTTCGCATGCGTACGAAAGAAAAAAGATAGTGGAACGCAAAATTACACTGAAACGCTTACGTTTTCGTTCGCTTTGATTTTCGTGCAAATTTTCGTTCTGATGGATTTTAGTGGAACGGAAATCAGCTGTTTGTCGTGTAAAAGTTGTGCGAACGTGTTCTTTCGACATCGTGGAACAGGCTGTAAAAGAAAATGAAGGAAGGAGGTTAGAATGGAGTGTAGCTTTAAGAATTAAGTTAGCCTCAACATCTAAGATTCCCAAAGCACATCACGGGAAGTAGTGCAAGAATTCGACTCTTGCCATTTGCAGTTCCGGAAAACTTTCGGTTTAAACCAGTAAAATATAGTCATAATAAGTTTCTTGGTTTAAAAAATATCGCAATACTACAATTAATACTTATTTTTCTCTTATTTGTTTTACAATAAAAACTTTTATTGCGACGTTCGTTTACAACGAGAGGCACACAAAATAAAATGTAAACAAATACCTCGTTTCTGATTGGTTGAAAAAAATATGCCGCAACCTTTAAATGTCATGGCGAAGCTATGTTTTTCGCCTTAGATGCCAATTTTGACATTTGAGGGGACCACAAAAGTTGCTTTGTTGTAGCAATTCGCCGATGCGGTTACCTGTTAGAGCTACCTTGATTGACACCCAAATTTTGGTTTTCATCCTCTTTTTTTGGTCAAGGCGAAGCACAATAGCAAACGCTGGTTTTGTTGTATGGTAGAAAAATACAGGTAGACGCATCAACACTTGGGAACATTGGTCTTTCAAAAAATGTTTTTTTCAAATATAAGTAGATTTTTATATGTTTTCTTATTCGATGTCATTCGGAGGTTATTATAATTCGTGGTTTTCAACAATTTTTACAAATTTAAATCATTTTTCATTCAACATTTTCAATTCCAAAATTGGTTTGATAGTTCATTGTCCCAACAACCATGGTTTGTTGTATTCTTTAATTCTGATGATAATTTGTGATCCGCAAAGTTGTTCGAATGTCAATAGAAACATGTTATAATTGGCGTTTAGGCAATAGTGAGGTTTTAATTTAGGTATTTCAATTACTTAACTATAGTTATGGTCTGGCAACACCATCGAAAGTACCCTTGTGGTACAACCCTGGGCGTGCGCTGAGTGCCGCCTCTAACAATCTATTCCTTCAGTTACACTCGCTTCAAAAAGAAGACATATTTGGCATTCGTAAACGGAATTAGAATCAAGCTAAAGGGAAATTGTTTTGTGTATGTAATTTGTATTAATAAAATTAAACGTTTGAATTGGAATAATCTAGAACAAATAACAGGTAATTTAACTGACGTCAATAAGCCAAGTTTATTTTGGTGGTGGGGCTTTAATCCTTCCTCTAGTAAAAATCCTTTTATAGTATGTATGTGAAACATGTAGTTGAATACATAATTATTATCCCTACCAAGTTTTGTTATTCGTGGTAAGTTTAACAAAAAGGTTTTCCTACAAGAAGTTTAAAAAATTTTACTCTTTTGCAGGAAGCAACGTAGTTAAGCAATTTGTATTTTATATTTTCCTAATTCCTGTTGATTTTGGGTGTGACTGTCGAGGCGACGACGCGGCAGAGGCCGCAATAGTATTGCTAGCCCTTTGTTTCTTTGTTCGGAATTAATGATATATTTTGCTTATTTTAGATTTGGAATATTGGTTTTATCCAACTTATTAAGCATTATCTTGACGTGTGAGCGTTCAAAAGTGGCGTATTTTATTGTGCAGTGTTGAATTCCTGACAATATTTTGGACATAAAGTATTTTAATTTTTAATAGTATACAGAAAAAATCATTTAATTAAAAAGGATTTGTTTTCGCAACAATTCATTGTGATAAATGTGAAAATAATTGTAGTGGGCGTAGTCTATCAAGCAGAGTACACCAGTTGAAGAAAATAAATTGGCGTGGCAGTCAGCATAAAACATGGCAGCAATAATTGATTTCCGCTAATATTTTTATGTTTACAAGCTATATATATGTACAAGTTATATATATATATATCTATCTATATGTATATATGTATATATCTATAGATAGATATATATCTATATGTATATATGTATATATCTATATATATATATATATATATATATATATATATATATATATATATATATATAGCCTTCTATATGTTGCAGCACATTTAAATACAAATATATATATATATATATATATATATATATGTATATATCTATATATATATATATATATATATATATATATATATATATATATATATATATATATATATATATGTATATATCTATCTATATGTATATATCTATATATATATATATATATATATATTTGTATTTAAATGTGCTGCAACATATAGAAGGCTATTTCGTACAATATTATAAATTTTTAGAGTTTGAGGAATACTTAATTCTAATTCTTAATTATCTGTGTTTATAATAAGTTCAAATAATATTGTCAAAAACTACTCGGGTTTGTCGGGGCAGCTCTCGATCTTTAGCTGCGATGGGAGGGCGATGATTTCCTAGAACAGTATTCTACAGAATGAATACTGTTCTAGGAAATCGTCCTTCCATAACTGAGACCGCGTCCGAGTGAATACTATTCACTCCCGATTAATAGACTTGTTGATCTTGAGGCTGTTTCCTATAACACTGCACCTCTCTCTTTCCTTTCCTTATGTACCTGGGCGGAGGTTTCCTATCCACCAGATGGTGAATCGGATGGGTCTGTCTGTAACACCCAAGCAGGTATTGCATTGACAGCATTTTAATATGCTATGTAGTTTGTGCTCGGAATTACAACACCATCGACCTGTCATTCAAAGATAGCCTCATCTCCGCAGTCCATGTGTTGAAAAGTGTGGCCGTCGGTTTAGAGGCGTATATCTTCATATTCTCCTCTGGGTATGTCCCACTGTTCTGTCACTGTGCCTATTCTGGTTGTATTTGTTGTAGCAGCTCATACATCTGTGTTCGTTCGGTTTCCATTTTCTGACTTAATTCAATCAGGTTCTGCCTCTAAGTCCAGTCTCAAAAAGTATGCCTGTATGGGTTGTGTCCATAACGAGACTGGGGTTAGGTGAGTAGGCTTGGCTGGGAAGCGAAATAGGTGCAGCGTGTCATGTGGGCCTGTGCCACATGCTGGGCAGATGTTCTGCACGTCGCTGTTAATCCGGGCCCAGTAGGAATTTAGGCGGCTGCACCATCCGGATCGTAATTGAGCCAAAACTACTCGGGTTTGTCGGGGCAGCTCTCGTTCTTCACCTGCAACGGGAGGGGGATGGTCTCCTAGCACAGTATTCAGTCTATATCCTTCAATGGCTTCTGAGACCGCATTAGAGTGAATACTATTCCGCTTGATAGGTCTGTTGATCTAGAGGCTCTCTCTTATACCTCTGTACATCTTTCTATAGATCATGAAGGTCTTTACCAACGTGCCTGGGCGGAGGTTGCCTATCCACAAGATGGTGATTTGGGTGGCTTTGTCTATAACACCCAAGCAGGTATTGCATTGACAGCATTTTGTTATGCTGTCGCACCGGTAAGACCTTCGCCTCCTCATGTAGGTGATCGACAGGTGTCATGAGAAGGCACCCTGTTGCGGTTCTAAGGGCGGCATTCTGGCAGGACTGAACATTTTTCCACTGCGTAGCACTGACGTTGGCGGACCACACCGGAGCCGCATAGTTTACCACAGACCGGCCTATCGCGTTGTAAGAGGTCAACAAGGTTTCCTTATCAGCTCCCCAAGTACTGCCGGCCAGAGACTTGAGGACCTTCTTCCTACTTCTAATCTTGTCGCAGATAGCTGGGGTATGCGCGGACGACTTAAAGAGGCTATCGAATGTGACCCCTAATAGCTTGGGGTAGTTGGTGGTCGGAATAATAGCACCATCGACCTGCACATTCCAGGATAGCCCTGGATATCCGCTTAGTGGCGGATATCTTCATATTCCTCGCAGTGAAAAAGGCGGTAAGATCAACAAGGTAAGCGTTTAACCGATCACAAATGTCATCAATAATGGGTCCGGACGCCACGAGCGTACAATCATCTGCGTACGTTATAATCTCTATGCCGTCTGGAGGGCGTGGAATGTCAGAAAGGTAAAGGTTAAACAGTTCCGGAGATATCACCCCACCTTGGGGAACTCCCTGTTTAACTCAACGGATGCTCGACTTCTTGTTTCTGAATTCCACGTTCGACTGGCGTCCACACATGTAGTTTACTATCCAACGTTTCAAACTTGGCCGGAGGGTGGTGTGCTCAATGTCCTCGAACAGTGTGGCATGATTGACTGTATCAAAGGCTTTTGATAAATCAAGTGCCACCATAACTGTTCTATCGCACGGCCTGTTCTGGTTGAGACCTCTGCAGACATGTGTGGAAATGGCGTGTAAAGCTGTTGTTGTGCTGTGCAATTTTCGGAATCCGTGTTGATGATAGGCTCAAGCCTCAAGCGTCTTTGCTACTGGAGACAAAAGTGATATCGGCCTGTATGAATCACTTTTGGTGGCATCCTTGCCTTGCTTCAGTAGCGGGACCACCCTGCCCATTTTCCAGGCATCGGGAACTACTAGGGTGGCTAACGACAAATTGAGAAGCTTCAGTTGGTTCATCCAGTTGCTTCAACATCACCATTGAGATTCCGTCAGGACCAAGCGCTTTGGATGACCTGTGCAACATCTGCCAACGTAAATTGTGGTGGTACCTCCTCGGCTGGAAGAGGTCGTGCCCGGCGTAGAATCCTTCTCTTAGCCCTGTCACTCTCGGGTGGACTCTAAATGGCCGGTTGAAGAAACACTCGCATCTCTTTTGACCTGTCACTTCTATGCCGTTAAATGAGATAGATGTCCGATCATCCTTCTTTCGGAGTTCGGAGCGACTTAGCCGTTGTCCACAACTTTCTCGATCCGGTACTGATGTTACATGCTTCAGATGTTCTCGCCATTTTTTCGCTTATGCTCACCGACTAACATGTTTACCTCCAGAGTACGTTCTCTGACTCTAGGGTTAGTACAGCGAAGCTCATTTCGCTCATTTGCTAATCCCGCTGCCTCTGCTGGGAAATTTTGTCTAATTTCAGGTAATCGATCAGCAGGTATATAGCGAGCGGCTGCAGCTTTGATTATGTCTCGGAAACACCTATCTGCTACCTGAACATCAGATGGGTTGGACAGTTCTCTGAAGCGGCGATTGGTATATTCTCTGAATTCTTGCTAATGGTCTTTAACATGCTTAAGGAAAGTGCGGCGTTCAGATTCTATGAAATCGGGTAGTCTGTTGATGGCGACGATAATGGGCAGGTGGTCTAAGCCTAAAGAAATGAATGATTGCCAGTTTAGGTCATTTGTAAAACCTAGAAACATGATCAATACGTTCGGTTTGCTGTGGCAGTTTCTCCTTACTGGTGGGCGCGTCCCCATTCACTGCAACATTTTTACCGCTACCCCCATACATTCCATGTACGGGTCACTAGGGTCAAGCTCAGACGAGATAGGTCTGTACTGGACAGAGTGGTGCAAAGGAAAGCTAATCATCCACCTCTGGCGCGATCCTTCCTTAATGCGTTGTATCCATCACAACTTTGAAGCCTGCAGGTGGTACTTAGCTTCGTTTCCTGGATCGATGTGACCTTGATTTTTTTCCGACTCATAAAGCCTACGATTTCGTTGATCTTACCTCGGAGACCATCACAGTTGATTTGGATAAAAGATGCATTTTCCGGAACTTGAACAGCAATGTGTGGCGTCAACTGCTGTATGAATTGCTGTTGCGGAGATTGCGGGGAAGTCTCGTACTGCGACGACGATGTGTACGACAAAGATGACGACTCACTGGAGTCTACATTGGCGTAGCAGGAAGCAATGTAGTCACCATCGCTATACTCCTGTATACGGTTTACGCCGGAAAAATTCCGGAAATGCACACACTCCATGCATCCGTTGCATCTCAGCGATACCGATCTGTGGTGGATGCGATTATGACAAACGGATCAGAACCATGGTCCGGGGTTCGTCTCGATCCCGGCTCGGGCCAAGAGAATACGGAGCAAACCTTCCGGGTAATGTTGCTCCGATATCAGAAAACATTTTCCAATTCGAAACTTGAAATAAACGGTGAATGATGTAGCTAAATTCATCATAACACCGTACATAGGGAGGTACGTTACATCGGAGCTATACGAAGACCTGGACTTGCATAGACAATTTTCTGTTACAGCCTGTAGCATCCATTACGAACTTAAAATACGACATCTCAAACAATTTCGGTGAGTATCGTACCTGAAATCGGCAAAATAACGTTATATGTGGGGCCTATACAAAGTCGTGGACCTGCATAGACAACTTTCTGTCATAGGCTGTAGTATCCATTCCGAACTTCAAATACCAAATTTGAAATAATTCTTGTGAATAATGCTCTAAAATCATGGAAATATCGAATATCGGGGGGTAACGTTAAATGGGGGCTATACAGGGACGTGAACCTGCACAGTCAATTTTCTGTCTTAGGCTGTACTATCCCTCAAAAATACAGAATATCGGGAGGTACCGTTGTATGGGGGCTATATGAAAACGTGGACCTATATGGCCCATTTACAAACTTAACCTGCCTACTGGCAAAATAAACATGTCTGCGAAATTTTAGCTTTCTTTCTCGATTCGTTCGAAAGATAGTTTGATTACAACAGACAGAGAGACCAATATCGTTAAATCAACATAGAATTTTACCCTGATCATGAATATACTTTGTTGGGTCTTATATGAGTATTTCGAGGAGATACAAACGGAATGACAAAGTTAATATACCCTCCATGGTATGGTGGAGGGTATAAATAATCCGCTTGGAATGGTTTGGTACAGTAGTTGAAGTAACGGAGATGGAGAGAGAGATAATCATAATTATAATGAACCTGCAAGTAGTAAATAGAATTAACGATGCCGACTTCTGACATCCCTACACCCTTTATCAGAAGTACCTGCTGGAGACGCGTGGTAATATTTGCACGTAGCGGAAAGGTTGGATTCGACCCAACTCCGGTGTAGTAGGTAATAAGAAGCAGAAGCTTTTATATTCATAGTGAGGGCGCTCGTGGAGATGGATCGCACGCCACTCCAATGCGGCAGCTCCGACGCAAATTCCTGAGGTTGATCTATTTCTTATTTTATGTTAATACATAGCTTTAAAATAGCAAACAAATTCAGATTTATTCTTAATCTTAAAAACATAGTTTTTTTTCACACTATCATTCCGATTTGAGAAATTCCAAAACTAGATGAATTTGCGTCGTCACCATTTAGATATATTAAGTTAGTGGTATATGTGGCATCGACTGCAAAAAGGACGCCACCATCTTTTTTACAAACACGATCTTTTCTGAGTATTTGATATCTTAAACATAAAATTTAATATAGAGGTTTTTAATCAAGTTTCGAGAAAACCAATACATTATAAGAAAAGCCAATGCTGTCAGTATATAAATTGTTTAATTTTGTGTTAAGCCCCCTTACATTCTGATAGCAATCTGGTCGCAAATATCATTTTCATGACGGGAGCCATAGTTAATGGTCTTTGGACAGGTTAAGTTTTGCCAGTAACAGTCTCGGGACGATCATAAGATATGGGAAATAATAATTCCTGAATGTCATGAGTGGATTGTGAAATTTTCTTGGGAACCCACTATCAATACTCATAAAATCACTTTTATCACTGATATTAACTGAAACCGGCGTTGGAACAGTGTTCTCCACAGAAACTATGGCTCTGCGATTAGGCATTCCCTTAGTTGGTGCCTATTTGGCGGTTTGACGGTGACGACGCAAATTCATCTAGTTTTGGAATTTCTCAAATCGGAATGATAGTGTGAAAAATTCCTTTTTCATAGATGTCAATTCCGACTGCAAATCCTTTACAAAATTGTAAATGTCTCCTTAGAGTTTTCTACATTGCACGAAACACCAACATTATTTCTTATTGTGTCTACGACTTTTGCATTATAGCACATTAAGGATGTCATTGATTAATACAAAACCAACAGGTAACACACACATCAGGGCACGACATTTTAATTATATAATTTAATGTTTATTATTATGTTTTAAAATGTAAAAAAACTATGTTTTTAAGATTAAGAATAAATCTGAATTTGTTTGCTATTTTAAAGCTATGTCTTAACATAACATAAGAAGACATGTTTATTTTGCCAGTAGGCAGGTTAAGTTTGTAAATGGGCCATTTAGGTCCACGTTTTCATATAGCCCCCATACAACGGTACCTCCCGATATTCGGTATTTTGATGATTTTAGGGACATTATTCACCGGAATTGTTTCAAAGTTGGTATTTGAAGTTCCAAAGGGATACTAAGACAGAAAATTGTGTGTGCAAGTCCACGTCTTCGTATAGCCCCCATTTAACGTTACCGCCCGATATTCGATATTTCCATGATTTTAGAGCATTATTCACAAGAATTATTTCAAATTTGGTATTTGAAGTTCGGAATGGATACTACAGCCTATGACAGAAAGTTGTCTATGCAGGTCCACGACTTTGTATAGGCCCCACATATAACGTTATTTTACCGATTTTAGGTACGATACTCACCGAAATTGTTTGAGATGTCGTATTTGAAGTTCGCAATGGATGCTACAGGCTGTAACAGAAAATTGTCTATGCAAGTCCAGGTCTTTGTAAAACTCCGATGTAACGTACCTCCCTATGTACGGTTTTATGATGATTTTAGCTACATTATTCACCAATCTATATATATATATATATATATATATATATATATATATAGAATTTTATATATATATATATATATATATATATATATATATATATATATATAGAATTTTATATGTATATATATATATATATATATAAAATGTTCCTCGACACAATGGAACCATTCCCAGAGTCCTAAGTCTATTAGTTTCCGAGATATTTGCGATCGTTTGAAGTTGAAGGGCACTAGTCAATTTTCAGGAAAATTTCCAACTTCTTGAAATGAAGGCTGTTATCTCTTTGTTTAAATAAAATACATCTAATATTACAGCTGGTTTTAGTGTAAAAAATGTTCCTCGACACAATGGAACCATTCCTAGAGCCGTAAGTCTATTAGTTTACGAGATATTTGCGATCGTTTGAAGTTGAAGGGCACTAGTCAATTTTCAGGAAAATTTACAACTTCTTGAAATGAAGGCTGTTATCTCTTTTTTTAATAAAATACATCTAATATTAGAGCTGTTTTTAGTGTAAAAAAATGTTCCTCGACACAATGGAACCATTCCTAGAGTCCTAAGTCTATTAGTTTCCGAGATATTTGCGATCGTTCGAAGTTGAAGGGCACTAGTCAATTTTCAGGAAAATTTCCAAATTCTTGAAATTAAGGCTGTTATCTCTTTTTTTAATAAAATACATCTAATATTAGAGCTGTTTTTAGTGTAAAAAAATGTTCCTCGACACAATGGAACCATTCCTAGAGTCCTAAGTCTATTAGTTTCCGAGATATTTGCGATCGTTTGAACTTGAAGGGCACTAGTCAATTTTCAGGAAAATTTCCAACATCTTGAAATTAAGGCTGTTGTCTCTTTATATATATATATATATATATATATATATATATATATATATATATATATATATAGAATTTTACGCTGATCATGAATATACTTTGTTGGGTCTTATATGAGTATTTCGAGGAGATAATTTGTATAATTCTTGTAAATTTGTTGTTATGTATTAAGGTTTTTTTTTATGTTAATATAGTTATAGGCTGTGTTTATACTGTTGCATATTAATATAAGATTTTGGCCATGTTGGCTTATTTATATTGAATTGTATGAAATAAATGAAATGAAATGAAATGAGATAAAAACGGAATGACAAAGTTATATATATATATATATATATATATATATATATATATATATATATATATATATATATATATATATATATATATATATATATATATATATATATATATATAATATATATATATATATATATATATATATATATATATATATAGAATTTTACGCTGATCATGAATATACTTTGTTGGGTCTTATATGAGTATTTCGAGGAGATAAAAACGGAATGACAAAGTTAATATACCCTCCATGGTATGGTGGAGGGTATAAATAATCCCTACACCCTTTATCAGAAGTACCTGCTGGAGACGCGTGGTAATATTTGCACGTAGCGGAAAGGTTGGATTCGACCCAACTCCGGTGTAGTAGGTAATAAGAAGCAGAAGCTTTAGATTTTTACTATTGTTGCATTTTATTTATGAATTCGGCAGCTCAGGATTGTGTTTTCACACTTCTATGTTGTTCCATAGATTCATCAATATCCACACATATATTCGAACCCTAACTCCGAAAATTAGATTAAGTTGTTTATTTTTTATAAAAAAATATTAAAAAACACTCCAAATGTTGGACTAATTTCTACAACAAGTAGGATACACAAGGTGCAAAATTACCCATTCGCGTTTGTCATCCTTTTACTAATAATTTTCCTTTCATTGGAGGAGCTCCGCCCAGATTCATGATAAGGCTACGTGAAATTTGAGCTCTTTCTCTAGTGACACCAGTTTTTGCAAAGATCACATCAACGACACCTGCTGGTATTGGTTATTTATGGTCCCCCATTTAATTTAGTTTATCCAACTTTTCCCATAATGTTTTTTGGCCAGAATCACCTCCCATTGCACAGTTGTCGAGGTCGTATGGGAACAGCGGCCAAAAATACTTTCAGTGCAGATATCAATATGAATCTTTGGTTATGGTACCTTGATGGGATAAAAATAAAAATTCCGACAAAATGGATATGGTCGATGCATGTTTTGGCATGGTCCTCTTACAACGTACCTCCCGGATAAGGGTTATTTGCCCAATTCTTGTCACATTTCTACACCAGATTGTAATGTTATTTGACATTTTACGTTCTAAGGAGTTAAAAAATAATCTTACTGTAAATAACTGGGAACAGCCCGCCTTCAGGTAGAGTCCCCCTGTAAAGGTACCTCCAAAAATAGATGCATTTTTTATACAAATCAAGTCTAAATTTGATTATTTTTTTGTAAACAAAATAAAATAACAATTTAATGTAAAATTGAAATAAAGTTAAATTTTGCACAAATCATTTGTTTAACTTAAGGTCCTATTGAAATTGGAGATGATCGGTCAAAATTAAGTTATAACTCCCATATATATTCATCCAATTAGCCTTATATTGTGCACCAAACTTGTAATATCAGCCCAAATGGAATATACGTACTACCAGATTGGACCTAAAAATAAGTATGCAAAATTTGATCGAAATCGGTTCAGATACAGATATAGCTCCCATATATATTGTTCATCCGATTTTTGTCCTCCGCAGCCGTAATATGCACTCTGTAATAACGAAATTTGGGGAGAAATATCAAATATAACTCAGAAATACCCTTTCTAAATTTTATCGAGATCTGTTAATATTTGGATATGGCTCAAATATATATCTTTGTCCGATTTGCCTTTTATTGTGCACCAAACGTGTAATATTAGCCCAAATCAAATTTAGATATAGCTCTCATCTATCCAATTTCAAGTTAATTGTGCACCAAATGGATAATACAAGCCCGAATTGAAAAGGCGCAAATGCATCGACAAATTTAGTAGAAATCGATTCATATATTAGTTCCTTTGGACTTTTAATTATTACTATGATCATAGTTGATATGATTTTATTCTCACAAATTCCCCATTAAAACCTTTATTTGACGCTCTACTAAATATGCAAAGTGGTGTAGGGTATCATGAAGTCGGCACCGCCCGACTTTAAGACTTTCTTTACTGGTTATTGTTTGGTAACGTTCGCTGTCCCGTTATAAAAGGGTCAGAGCTCAGAAGAAGGCGGTTAATAAGATCTGTGTTTGTTGAAACACGAGAATTTTTCACTAGCACCATAGAACAAACAAAATTGTAGCGAAGTCACTTCAGTTTATTGGGCTAACGTACACATCTGACAAAATCTGAAAGTTAAATTAGCAGTTTTAGAGTCTTAAGGCCATTACTTATGGCGTTAAAAATGTCACATGGGAGGATTCAGGGGGGAAAACAATTAAAACTTTAACTGAACTCCAATTTTATTTTCAAAATTAATCTTAAAGGCAACTCAGAACACTCACATCATCTATATTATACACATCTACTAAACACACAAATTACTGCACTAAAAATAAGTCAATACCTTGTTTTTCAATAATAATGCCAAGATTTGTCATTTTAAAATGTATTTAATTTTGTAATACAGTTCTATTTTTGCTCCACTTTTTCACTGATCCCACTGAAAAAAGCAGCTGACCACATTTTCTCTTTTTTGATGCTTTTTTTGAAGTGGGCCGTTAGAATGAAGCCAAGATTATTATGTTTTCTAAAAAGCTTAGCCCCTTAAGAGTTCATTTGTACACATTTGACAATAAATATCTGATTTTCATTTTTTGAATTTTGGCCAATGGCAGCGACCACTGTGCATTGGTGGTCAAACTATTTTTATTCGATCGACATATAAATAGACACAGTAATATGCAAACATACATATTTTCTACCGTAAACTTCAATAAATGTTTATTTTTTAGGAACACAAAATGGGTAAAGCTCAAAGTAAGCGATCGGTTGACATTACTACAGATAACAAAAAGGGAGTCGAGGAAGAAATCACTGAAAAATTGGAAAAAATTGAAGATGTTGATAAAAAGGATATAAATGGAGATGCAAATATACCGTCATCTTCCGAGGTAACTACAAAAATTATAATTTTTTTCTTTAAAATCGATTTTTAATGAATTTAGAAAAAGGATTCACACGTTGAGATGGAAAATGTTAAAGACATCACAACCGAAAAAAAAGGTGATGTTGAAGATGTGGGACTAGCCCCAGATGATATCAAATCCCCCGCATTGGAGACAAGCAAAGAAGATGGGACTATTGAAGATGTCTCTCCTCTATCTGAAGAAAATTCAAAAAAGACAAAAAAAGAAAAGGTTAAAAAGAAATGGTCTTTTCGTAGTATTTCTTTCGGAAAAAAAGATAAACAAAAGCCTGGTAAAACCGATGGAAGCTTGGAAAATGTAACCGGCGCAGTAAACGGCTCTGAAAACGATAAAAACACTGTAAATATTTATCTATAGTTGGTTTTTTCGAAAAATAATTATTGTTTTTTTATATATATGTATATTGTCTAGGATTCTGTGAAATCACAAGAAACATTACCTAACTCGAATTCACAAGAAGTAGATGGTTTCCATGAAAATGGAAATACCACGGAAACCCAAACCAATGGCGATGAGATTAAGGAAAACGAAGAGACTGAATTAAAAGAGTCTACTGACAAAAAAAAGGGAGCTTCGGCAAATGATACAACCGTTTTGAAAACATCACAAGAGTCTGAAGAATCAACCGAAATAAATTCAAAAACTGTTTCGCTACATGAAGATGAAGAGACAAATACAATAAAAGATGAAATATGTAATGTCCCAGAAGAAGTTGAAAGAATAGAGAAGCAATCAGCATTCAAGGACACTGCTGAAAACAAAGGCATTCCGGCAAATGAAGCCAATTCTCTTAATGGTATTGTAGACGAAAATCATCAGAATGGGACCAACGAAGTATGCGAAGAAGAAAAACAATCTAATCCACAAATTGAGGTAATCAACAACCCTGGTAACAAAGTATCTGCAGACACCCTTAAATCCAATTCCTCTTCTACATCCACTATTCCTTCCATTGACCAAACAAATGTTATTGTATTGAACGAAACAAACAATGATGTAGAGGTGGAATCTAATGCATCGAACAAGGTTTTTGTCAATTTGAAAGAGTCTGAGCAGACATATGATCTAAAAGAACTCGTTAAGACAGATAATTTAACTTCTGAGAAATTAGTAGATGAATTTTCTGTTCCTCCTCTTCCAATATCTCCACCCCCTTCCCAGGTTTCTGTATTTGCTTTCACGAGCAACAACGAACAAGTTAATTCTATAGAAAAGAACGAAAATAATCTCACAGAAGCGATCGCAGAAACGCGATATGAAGAAGTAGTTGAGAATAAACATAATATTGCTGATGAAAGTGAAAAAACGGTGGGAGAATCAATAGAATTTACTGGATATGAAGAAAGTTCCGAAAAGGGAATTCTTGAAAAAAAAAGCAATGAAGAATACACTGATAGAACTGTACAAGTTCAATTAGTGGAAGAAAACAAAGAATGCAATAATTTTGCTGAACTTCAGGAAGGATCTAATGATATCGGAAACAATAACGAGCAAGGAGGTTTAATTTTTGAAAAAAAAGAAACTATGGAAACGACCACAGTTAATGATGTAACCCCAATGTTAAAAAAGAGCAATGTAGATTTCCAAGAAGAAAGAAGTTCCATAGGCATTACAGAAACGTTCGATGACTGCAAGGTAAACCAAGAGGTAATTATATCTGATGGAATTACCGTAATCGAATCTGATCCCATTTTTTTGGAAATGCGTTCATCTGAGGTTTTGGAAGAAAAACACGCAGTACCCGACGATATCAATACATTTTCTAGTGATACAGAAGATATTGTTGCAGATGAATCAAAGGTGAATACATTCAGTCGATAAAATAAATCAAAACGTGTTTCATGCAACCCAAATTATTGGCAGTTGGCTCAATATCTACGTTGGTTGGTATAAATAACACTGCCCATGTTGTTGAGCATTTTTCTTTCATCTGCATGAAAAGCTAAAATGACTAACTGTACTGACAAATTCAGTTACTTCTATTAAATAAAATTTATTTGCGTAATGCATTAATAAAAGTCGTTACCGATATGTGACTAACTCCTCTCAATGCAATATGCCATTACATTAAATTTTTAATTATTTTCTTTTAAAGTATAATTGCACGTATACTGCAACTTTTGTAAAACATTTCTAATTCACATATTCTTGTTATTCTATAATGTAAATTATTATTTTGTTCTTTCTATGCAGGAATTGTCAACCCCTATTGACCTTAAGGAATGTGCTACCGAAGCAGAACTAAAACAGGACACTTCCGTATCATGCGATTAATCCACATCTCATATTATAAAATATTTAAAATACATTTTTAACATTTACATACATATTTTAATCATTTTGTACAACTTCATATCCCTAATCCAAGATTATATGCAAAATAAAGTATACACATAATTTCAACGCAAAGTTAAAAGGAAATATTCTGTACATATTGTGGTGAATATTAAGCTTTTAAATACTTGGCTACACTATTAGGAATATCAGTAGCTTTTACTATATCTGATGCTAAATTATCCGTCCGATCTCGAATAATTCAATGAGAGATGTTTTTTTTCCTTTATTGATTTCATAAAAAATCGAAGGAGAAAACGTAGGTGTTAAGAATGTTCTCAAAATCTCACTCAAAACTAAAGGATGTTTGTCGCAAAAGGTAACATCATATACAACAAAGCCTAAGTTATACCATATTTTCGATTAGTTATTAATACATATAGCACTTTTTAATTATTTTCGAATTTTATTCCATTAATTTATTCAAAAAGCGACTAAAAAACATTGATGAAATTGACCGTGCTTTACAGACTTGTCAACATCCAACATACAGGGCGAATTAAAAAAAAACTGCAGCAAAGTCAAACGCCATAATTTTTAGAATTGAATAAAAACAGAAAATGTCGGATAGCATCGAATTTTAGAATAAGTTTAGATTTATTCGAATTTGTCACCTTTGGCGCGACTTATGACCTTCAAACGGCCAATGAAACCGTCACACGCTGCCCGAATGTTGCTCTGCGGTATTTTGGCGCATTCCCTGCGAAGCGCTTGCTTAAGGTGAGCGACACTTTGGTATTTTGTAGTGCCAACCTTGTTTTCCAAAATACTCTAGACACAATAGTCCAATGGATTGGTATCCGGAGATTTTGGTAGACATCGTGCGCTGGAAATGAAGCGAGGAGCCTCATTTTGTAACCATTCTTGAGTGGCGCGTTCTGAGTCCTCTTGGAATGTCCAAGGTCTGCGGCCAAAATGTTTGCGTTCCCAAGCAGAATATTTTCGCGATAATATTTGATATTTATTCTGATGTCTCGCTCGTATTAATCGAGCGACTATCAGTTATGGCGGCTCACACCACCACCATGGCCGGCGCTTGAGTTCTGGTGGCCAACCGAAGGTGCACATATTCAGCTGGCCTCTTTGGCAAGTAAACGCGATCATTATTTTGTTTGTTTACAAACTGCTGTATAACAACTAATGTATTCTCATCGGAGAAAACCAAATTCAGCAGTTCACCACTTTCGACCAAGCGAAGCAACTCCTTAGCTCTTTTGAGTCTATTTTCTTTCTGTTGCTGTTTTCTTTCGTCCACTTCCTTGACGTCGGGATATGATGCCAGTATCACGGTAACGAGCGATGATTTATTCACATTTAAATGCTCGAGTGCTCTAACGATAGCCACTTGTGGTTTTCTAGCCAAATATAAAGAAATCACGAATAACTTTTTTCTGGAAAATTCTCACCAAAATGCTGGAATATTAATAAAAACAGCTGTCGGACGAGTGACATAGAAATGACAGCAGTCTGAAGTTGGTTGCATTTTTTTTATCTCACCTGTATATACAGGCATGTCAGAATCGGAATGGTCCGAATTTCCATGGTACAATGTTATCAAGGTAGGGCTATGATACCATATGATTTCAATTTTTTTATTTTCTTGGCTTAATATGTCATATTTATTTGTTTATGCATGTGTTTTCTTTTCAATAACAAAAAAATTGTTCAGAAAACATTCAAATTCGGATGTTTTCAAAATGTTTATTTCATCGTATGCATCGACAAAATCTAGAGTTTTTGTAGCGAAATAATGCTTTAGAGATATATAGAACCTGGTTTTGAAAAGAAGTGTTGACCTTTCATTCAGTTTTCGCGGTTTTCAATTATTTATTCAAAATAAATGCAACAAGTTGTTTGATTTTGTTATTGTTTTGATACTATTTCTGACATTACAAGCCAAACAGGTAGACCTCTATACGTGCAATTTTTTCAAAGTTGACCTACCTTCTCTTCATTGTACCATGCGAATTTCGTACTTCAAAATCGATCGTTTAGATTCCGTACGATTTGGTGAACTACGAAAATCTCATTATTTAGTGTAAATATGGCAACATTAGAGGGATGAAAAAACGAATTTGGAGGAATCAAAGTAAACCACGTGATTAGAAACAATGTAGATGTGAAAATTGTGAAAAATATTCAAAAAATAAATTTTTGAAAAAATAAGCCGGAGGAAATTCAGAGATGTTTCGGACCCTTATGCGTATTTTTTCGGTATTGTGTTTATTACTTTTCGCCTCAATTGCAGAAACAGTCGAAACTCGACATTATGTAAAAACTAACAAAATTGATTTTCTTTTCGCACAAAAAAACTCTTTTGAACAGAATATTTTTCACAATTTCCATTTCTACAGTGTTTTATAATCATACAGGCATGCCACAAGAATAAATTCGGTACGAAAGTGATTTTAATTTCGTATTTAGCTTCTTCAGAAAATGTAAATCGCAACATTTTTTCGATTTAAAACCACTTTTGGTTTTTATACCCTCCACCATACATAGTATGGAGGGTATATTAAGTTCGTCATTCCGTTTGTAACTCATCGAAATAATCATTTTAGACCCAACAAAGTATATATTCTTGATCAGCGTAAATTTCTAAATCGATTTAGCCCTGTCTGTCCGTCTGTTGTAATCACGCTACAGTCTAAACGAATTAAGATAGGAAGCTAAAATTTTGCAGAGATCTCTCTTTTGTCTGCAGGCAGCTCAAGTTCGAAGATGGGCTATATCGGTCCACGATATCGTATAGCCCCCATATGACGGTACCCCCAATATTCGGTATTTTAATGATTTTACCCACATTTTCAACGGAATTGTCTGAAAATCCACATAAGGAGTTCCTTGCGGATACTTTATACCTCGGAGGTGAATTATCTATATAGGTCGACGATATCGTGTAGGCCTCATATAACGGTACCTCCCCATATTCGGTATTTTGATGATTTTTTTGCATGTGGTTTTTTATTTTAATTTAAAAAAAAAATAATTAGCAGCAATTCCCCGATGTGACGTGTTTGCTTGCTGCCGGCAGGAAAAAATGAACCCGATATGTTAAGCTCGGTGCAGAGGTTGAAGAAATCAGTGTTGCCAACCGGTGTAAAATATAAACCCGAGAAATACAACTCTAATGTAGGGCTCAGTAGGTTCGATAAAGGTAATTTGATGAATCAGGAAAATTGTGCGAGAATCCCGGAAAATTGTAAATGGTTGCGGCCATATAAAAGGCATAACAGGGGAATATCGAGGCAGTTTGTTTGGTGTATTAGCAAAGAAGACATTTTTATTTACTAATTAAAATATATTTGAAGAAAATCGCCCAAAAAAAATTTAACTAAATTTTGTTTTTGTGTTTAATTAACACTTGTGTTTTGTTGTTGAGTATTGTGTTGTATTGTATTATATTAATGGTGTTTAAATGTTTGTGTGTCCTTTTGTATATTGTTTAGGCAACGCCAACATTTACACCAACCGTTAAAACCATCTCTGACCCCTCCGATTCTATGAACGGAGGAGGTCAGCCAAAAATTTATATTGTTTCCAAGGCAAGGTTTAGTACAAGCCAAGTGAACTGACAACTGGAACGGCAGCAAATTTAGTCCTATCAGTGATGTGTCCGTTCAGCAATAACCACCATTGAAGTATCCATTGTGCCTAAGTCCGTGATGTCTAAAGACCTGGAATAAGTAAGTAAGTAATTCTTTATTTGAGTCTTCTTCTTTCTTTGATAGGTTTACAATACGAATGGTTAACAGTATACCCTTAGAACTATTGTTGTCTTGTTCTAACTTAATCGTGACATATATGATTATGCTACATTGCTTGAATGAAAAGGCAGAATGTTAAAAGTAAAAACAGATTGAAATTATGAGAGAGGCTTGCTCACGGCCTCAAATGTTACGAACAGAGCGAGAATGTCTGTAAATAAATAAATAAAGGTATAAAAACAAACATAAAAACTAAATAACAAACAAAGTTCTGTTAAGTAATTGACTAACAGGGATCATAGTAGTCTATGGAGATTATTTAAATGACTATTACTAAAATGTAATTTGTATAAATTGTATCACAGGTTTGAAATGCGATTCTAAGTAAATCGAACGCTCAGGTACAGTTTAGAGCTTAATAATAATTATTGGTGAGTATCTCTTTTCCTGTGAAATGTAGCTTTTGTTGACACATTTTCTTAAAATCTTGCGTTCTAGAATTTCTAACTCCTTGGCCACTATTGGGGAAATAGAGAACCAGATCGGAAACCCGTACGCTAAGATAGATCTAATTGCAACTTTGTAGAGAAGTAACTTCGTGTTTTGTGGTAGGTATTTGCTATTTAATAGATATGAAAACTTTACTAATATACCTTTTGTCTTCTGCATGACGGACCGTGCGTGTTTATTGAACTTCATCAAATTGGTGAGAGTAATACCCAAGTATTTGAGAGATGTTTTAAAGGGAATCTCAACTCCTTCAAGAGACAGCTGAAGCGCTTTACTCTCTGGAACAACGTTTCTAGGGCATTTTCCCGAAGCGTTCCGGAAACATATTGCTACGGATTTATCGGCATTGATTTTGATTCCCCATTTTTGATAGAATTCATGGATGATCTGGAGATGAGTTCTAGCGTTTTGTAAGGCGTTCTTGGGCGAAATGTTGTGTGCGTAAATTAAGCAGTCGTCGGCATATAAAATCGCTTGAGAGCCTTGGCCGATATGGGGGAAGTCATACAGGAAAATATTGAAAAGGTAAGGGGCTAAAATACTTCCTTGCGGCACCCCACTGTTTACTAAACCCGTGGCTGACGTCGTGTTTTTAATATTAATTAAAAACTTTCGTGCAGTGAAAAAACTTGCCATCAACTTGACCAGGTATGGATCTATACCAATTTCGATTAACTTGTAAAGTACTCCTGTGTGACATACCGAGTCAAATGCTTTTTGTATGTCTAAGGAAATCGCTACAGTAGACACTTGGTTCCTTAGGTTTGATGTTATATCACTGTGGAGTTTCAGGAGCGCGTGTTGTGTGGAATGGCCAGACTTGAACCCAAATTGGTATGCTGAGATTGGACTAACTGGTAATTCGTTTTCCATTTTTTCTTTTAGGACCGACTCAAATAACTTCCCGATGTTGGACAATAGTGATATTGGACGAAAATTGCTCAAAGTGTTGTCATTAATTATTTTCTTCTTTATGGGAATAATTTTCGCCAATTTCCACAGTGATGGGAAATATCCATTGTTAATGCAGTTGTTGAAGAGACATGTAAGCAGATTTATAACATTATCTGGGAACTTTTTAATGAGAAAATTGGAAATCTCATCAGGGCCGCTTGATTTTTTACAATTGATATTATTAATTGCGATTTTTATCTTTTCAGGATTGGTAAAGTGAACAGAGTCTGGATTGTTTAATGAATTGAAGTTATCATCAAATAAGTAGATGTGCGGTGGAACGGCGTTGATGCATGCTGTGACTCTAGAGCTAAGATCATCTACAGGATTTGTGGGCACATTTTCTTGAAAATTTTCAGAATAAAATTGTTTAAAATTATTAGCAATTTCTGAACTTTCCGTAATGGTTTCATTTCCTATTTGAAGTTTTTCGCAAAATGATGATTTATTTTTGCCGGTAAGTTGAGCTACTTTTTTAAATGCTGATGGCCCGGGTTTGATAGCTTTCAATTTATTACTGAACGCCTGCGCAGATTCAGTATTGATTAGATTTTGAATGATAATTTTAAGAAGTTGGATTTGCTTAGAAAGTATAGCGTATTCAGGGCTTATCCTATTTCCAGTACGGTGGTAAATCTTCTTTAGTTCCTTCTGCCATCTATGTTTAACTTTGAGAAAATTCTGAACCTTATCGGAGAAAGGCGGTTTATGGATATTTAGGGCAATTTTTTGTGAATGGTTGTTGTGAATTCGAAGAAGTTCGCAGTTAAAGTCTTCGATAACATCGTCGATTTGTCCATTTGATAGGTTCCTATTAATTGGCGGCATAATTTGCGTTGACATTAAATTTAACTCTTGTCGAAAATTGTTCCAATTTGTGTTTTTATATGAAGACCTGGAATAATATAAAACCAAATAAGTATATGCTGACCAGGTAACAATATTTAAAAGAAAAAATGATCTACTCACCGGCCTTAAGGAACATTTCTTTTTGGAGTATCTATGCCCAGAGGCTGAGTGCTTATTAACAAACATCTAAAAAGGAGAACAGAAATGAAACATTAGAAAATCTAAAAAAAAAACAAAAAATAACATCGAACTCATAAATAAGAAATTAATCGGCTAAAATATTTATATGTTAGTTTAAGTATATGTTAGTAGTTAGTGATTAGTATATAAGATTTTATTTGTGATTGTAAAAGTTTTTAACGCCAGATAGAATGCGACAAGTGTAGGGTTACCCCAGAAAATCCTATTAGAAATTAGTTAATTGTGGGATCGAATATGAATGTGACCACATTAGAGAGCTCTTTTAGGTGAGGAAATAATTAAGAAAAGCGGCCAGATTTGACCGAAATTCAATAGGATAAGGTGGTAGTCCGAGGTATTGACTTATCGATGTGTCAGGTGTTAGAAATTTAGAATTCTGACAAGAAAATAATGAAACCAATAAATTGTTTTAATGTCTAAGTGTTTAGATTAATATGAATTGCTAATTTTTTTTGTTAGGGAGGAAAATAGGATGTTGTTGAAGTGAGGTAAATGTGTGTGGAAAACGGGGCCCTTACAAATTGAATTGAAATCTTTGATGAGGATCTAAGGGTCAAGGTTGGGTGGGCTATGTGTGGGAATTATTAACATCAATTTCCCGTGTTATGGTCGCATGCGTTTTGAAGTTTTATTTCGATTCGTTTGTTTTAATTTTCATGTTGTTCCTTTTGATTGTTCGACCCCTAGAGCTGATGGTGGCAGGGTTGGGAATTCAACCCTAAATTGGTGCCCCGACTGAGCTAGATGGAACCCCACCATAGCGCTGTATCAGGTGGTACGTAACACACAAAGAGTCCTTTGTGAGTATTTCACCCCCTGAAAGAGAATTGTCTATATAGGTCCACGATATCGTATATACTCCATATAACGGTACCCTCCGATATTCGATATTTTGATGATTTAGTATATAATGTGGCTAAAATCATCAAAATGCCGAATACCGGGGGGTACCGTTATATGGAGGCTATACGATATTGTGGACCTATATAGATAATTCTCTGCCGAGGTATAAAGTACCCACAAGGAACTACTTGTGTGGATAATGTGGTTAACATCATTAAAATGCCGAATATCGGGGGTACCGTTATATGGGGGCTATATGATATCGTGGACCGATATAGCCCATCTTGGAAGGAATTCGGTCCGAAGCATCTCTTAAATTCCTCCAGCATATTTTTTCAGTATTGTGTTGATTACTTTGCGCCTCAATTACAGAAACAATCTAAACTCCTGACACAAATAGTCCACGGTCATCTTTGTCACACCTTTTTTTCCGTCTGTTGTAATCACGCTAAGTCTAAACGAATTAAGATAGGAAGCTAAAATTTTGCACATATCTCACTTTTGCACTTTACCCATCGACAGAGAATTTTCTATGTAGGTTAATGATATCGTATAGCACCCATATAACGGTACTCCGATATTCAGTAGTTTGATGATTTTAGCCACTTTTTCCTATGGAATTATATGAAAATCCACACAAGGAGTTCCCTAATTCTCCTCCGGAATTATCTATATAGGCCCCATATAACGGTACCTCCCGATATTCGGTATTTTGATGATTTTAGCCACATTTTCTAATGGAATGGTCTATAATTCCACAAATGTTGCATGTGGTTTTTTATTTTAATTAAAAAAATAATTAGCATCAATTCCCCGATGTGACGTGTTTGCTTGCTGCCGACAGGAAAAATGAACCGGATATGTTAAGCTGGGTGCAGAGGTTGAAGAAATCAGTGTTGCCAACCGGTGTAAAATACAACTCTAATGTAGGGCTCAGTAGGTACGGTAAAGGTAATTTGATGAATCAGGAAAATTGCGCGAGAATCCTGGAAAATTGTAAATGGTTGCGGCCATATAAAAGGCATAACAGGGGAAAATCGAGGCAGCTTGTTTGGTGTATTAGCAAAGAAGACATTTTTATTTGCTAATTAAAATATATTTGAAGAAAATCTCCCAAAAAAATTAAACTAAATTTTGTTTTTGTGTTTAATTAACACTTATGTTTTATTGTTGAGTATTGTGTTGTATTGTATTATATTTGTTGCGGCCTTTAACTATTAACACTATTTTTATTACTTAGTTAATTTATCGGTAAAGAAAAATTGAATTCTAACATAAAATATTACTATGGATATTAAAGAATAATATTTGTAATAATTGAAATCAAACATAAAATAGTACTATTGTTATTACAGAATAATATACATATGTACATGAAGTACACTCTAAAGTTATTGTTATATATTGTTACGAATATAACTTTAGATTTAAGTTAATTTAGATGAATTCCGTTAATTTAAGAATTTGAATTGTAACGTAAATTTCTACTACGCAGTTTATTTGAATAACTTCACAACAACAACTACTGTATAGATTTTTCTACATCCTTCCATTTCCTCTTTCATTTTCTATTTTGTTGCTGACGTACAATTCTTGTTAAACGTCATCATTGATGATCGCTTAATTCCTCTTTCTTTGTTACCCCCTCGCCTGTGTATGTGTTGTTGTTATTGTTCACTCAATGTAAGTTTGTATGTGTTGTTGTTATTGTTCACTCAATGTAAGTTTGTATGTGTTCGTTGCATTGGTAGATTGTTCGTAATCTAGGCGTTACCAGATCGTCTAGAAACTTCTGTAGCGACAGGCGAGGCTCATATAAATAGGGGAAATGGAAAGGCAGTTAGTCAGTTGTGAATCAGATCGCGAATTGAAACCGTCGAGTAAAGTAAAGTGCAAAGTAAAGTTGTGTGAATAAAATCATTGTAATAATCGTAATCCGAAAGAACCCGCGTTTTATTTGGTACGAGCTGTATTGGGAAATAAAACAACGTCTACACGGGATTAAGTAAAATCCAAGAACGTAACAATTGGTGTCGGAAGTGAGATTACGATAATACTACGATGAAGTTTAAGGATCTACGAGTGGAAGACTTGAAGAAGGAACTTAATAAATTGGAATTGTCCTCTACTGGCAACAAGGCTGAACTACAAAAACGTCTGTTGGATGAGTTCGAGCGCCGTGGTATGAACATCGATACATATGAGTTTGACAGTAAGGATGAAGTGGATTTATCGGAAATGGGCGAACCCAACGGTGGGGAAGTCTCGTCAGTAGCTGCCAGGGGTGACGATTTCAGAGAAATGCTAGCCAAAATGTTTGAGGAAAATTTCAGAAGGTTCGAAGAAAATTCGAGAATAACGAACGAGAAACTCGAGTACATTATAGAAGTTATTGGAAGGAGAGTGGAAACCGTGGAGGTCCAAATTAAAGAGTTGGATAAGAAAGTGCAGTCGGTTGACGAGAAATTTCTGTCCCACGACCATAGGGTTACAAATCTGGAGAAGAAAATTTCGGAACTGGAAATCAAAGGTGGTCCGGTGCGAGTTCCTGATAACACACTAAAAATCAAACCTCCTGTATTCGATGGCTCTACGTCATTCAATGTTTTCAAGTTACAGTTCGAGACAGTGGCTTCTAGAAATTCGTGGAACGACAGCGACAAAGCGGTTGCACTACTTCTGGCATTGAAGGGCAGTGCTGCTGATGTTATACAGAGTATTCCTGTCGCTTCTAGAAACAACTATGAAGATGTTATTGCTGCACTGGAACGTAAGTACGGTGGCGAACATAAACGAAACATCTACCTTATGGAATTAAGGGGAAGAGTACAGAGGGCAAACGAGACGTTACAAGACTTTGCAGCTGAGGTGGAACGTTTGGTGCTAATGACGTATCCAGGAGAGGATCACCCATTGCTGGACCGTATGAAAATCGAAACCTTTGTGAATGGCATACGTGACCCTGAGATTAAGTATGCAACATATGCGTCACCAAAAGCATCATTTTCCGAAACTGTGTCGTTTGCCCTTGCCCAAGAGACGGCAAGAATAGTTGTTAAGCCCCAGACCCACAAGATTCGCCAACTGGAGACCGAAGGTTGCGAACCCAAATCTCTCGTTAACTCGATCGAAGACGCCATGAGGCGGGTAATAGAAGAGACAAAGTTAGTTGGGATGACTAAGCCCAGGGTTAGATGCTACAACTGCGATAAAGCAGGTCATATTGCGCGCGAATGCAGAGCTAAGCGCAAACGATCCAGGTCATCGTCACCACCTCCAACGAAAGATGGTAGAAGAATGGCCCAACAGTCCACCAATGAGTCACAGTTAAACTAAATCGAGCCAGTCCAGCGGGGCATGAACTGGCTCCCATCGACGATGGCCCCACAATCTCCATAGCAATAGTACAACAGGAAAGTCACAACCTAACAACAACTGGGTACATCAATGGTGATAAGCGAGTTCTGACGTTAGATACTGGCGCATCAAAGTCCATCGTAAGATCAGATCTGGTAAAGGGAAAAATAACGCAACTTAATGGAGTCAGACTGCGCACAGCAACGGGGGAGCCCGCGGCAGTACACGGCAAGATTACCCTGAGACTAACTATTGCCAATAAATCGGAGAATTACGAGTTTATAGTTGCCGATATCGTAGACGAAGTGATAATAGGCGCAGATTTTATGATTGCCTTTGGTATCAATCTGGATATGAAAGAACGTGTGATGACCTGGTCTAACGTCGAAATTCCGTTAAACGTGGGCTACGATGAAAGTACACCCATTAAACGTCTGACCACGGACCATCCAGAGATAATACCGCCCTGTGCCGAAGCAATAATATGGGTACCAATAAATGGAGATTGTGGAGCCGAGAAGTTGTGGGTGGTGGAACCAGCAGAAAACAGAAACAGTAACATCCTAATAGCGAATGCCCTGGTGAAAAGCAACAAGGACGGATTAATTCCTGTTAGAGTTTTGAACCTGTCAAACAAGCAAGAGCAAATTTGCCAATTTTCCGATGTTGGACAATGCACACCAGCTGAAGCTGTAGTTAATTTGGAAACTAGCACCGAAAAGCCAGCTGCCATGGAGAAGAAGCACCTCGACGGCTACATAAAAGAGTGGACACACCAATTATCACCTTCCGAGAGGAACAAGGCTTAGGAGCTATTATGGAAATATGCCTCTACCTTTGCGTTGACAAAAGAGCACCAAGGAAGAACATCAGTGGTGAAGCATGAAATCAATACAGCAGACGCGAGACCCATTAAACAGCCTCCAAGAAGTGATCCCCTGGCAAAAAGAGACCAGGTTCAGAAGCTGATAAGTGAAATGGAAAAGAGTGGTGTAATAGAACCATCGTCAAGTCCATGGTGCTCCCCAGTGGTTTTGGTCAAGAAGAAAGACGGAAGCACCCGATTTTGTGTGGACTACAGAAAGTTGAATGATGTCACCAAGAAAGGCAGCTATCCGCTCCCAAGAATCGACGACACATTGGACACATTAGCCGTGACGTCATGGTTCTCCACCCTCGACCTGCAGAGTGGGTACTGGCAAGTAGAGATCGCCGAGAAAGATAAGGAGAAAACAGCGTTTGGCGTAAATGGGGGTCTCTGGCAGTTCAATGTCATGCCATTCGGACTCTGCAACGCCCCGGCTACATTTGAAAGGCTGATGGAGCGTGTGTTAAAAGGGCTGAAGTGGAAGTCGTGCCTCATATACCTGGATGACATCATAGTCATGGGACGCAACTTCGACGAACACATCAAGAACTTAAAGGATGTTCTACAGCAGCTTTCGTCTTCAGGCCTCAAGCTGAACCCAAAGAAGTGCAGTCTCTTCCAACGAGAGGTGAAGTTCCTGCGGCACCACGTGACTCCGGAGGGCATATCGACGGATAAGGAGAAAATTCAAGCCGTCAGAGATTGGCCGCAGCCCCGAAATCTCCATGAGCTGCGAAGCTTTCTGGGTCTCTGCACATACTACCGTCGATTTGTCCAAAATTTTGCCAACATCGCCGCCTGTCTACACCGTTTGACGCAAAAAGGCCAGAGGTTTCAGTGGGGCAACGACCAGGAGGAGGCATTCAGAAAGCTCAAAGACATGCTATGCAGAGCCCCCATTTTGGCATACCCTATACCTGGCGGC